TGTATCGCTGAAGATCCTCGGAAAGAATTTCTACTGGAAACAAACAAACAAGCAGATATGTAACAATATTCTAGAAAAAAAAAAGTGTGCTGACTCTTTGTTCGAAACAAAGCTATCTGTGCTGTACCCAACACAGGTATCGAAACATAACTTTTAGCGTTATAAGCCTTCAGATTTACCGCTGAGCTACTGAAGGGAGAGGGGAGGGAAGGGCTAAAAGAAGAGCACAATATTGAAATAATATTGCCAACTCAACGCCATTTTGTTGTCGGCCTGTTGCTTTAATTCTTGATTGATATGTATGTCAAGTATACAATTTGTATTTTAAATCGACGGAAAATTCAAGTTATTTAGTAGGTAAAGCAAGGATTGTAGCCAAATATTACCCCTTAACAAATATTTCAACATGATTAACTAAAATGAAATATAAATGTTTTATTATAAATGCTCACTTAGTTTTTCGTTGTTTGGTGAAAAAAGATCGAACTTGAACTATAGGAGTTTCTGTAGTTATTTATCATTACCATACTTTGTACATCAGAATCTTGTAATCTATATACATTAAATACTAGAAAATGAATTGTTCTGTTTCTAGTTGTGGCGAACGTTGAAAATTATTGAAACTCGAGTCTGCAAACAAGAAAATTTCAGACCTTGTTGCTTGTCTACTTAGAGAAATTTGTTTAACAATTTTGTTCACAAACTTTTTACTGGCAATGAAACTACAACACCTTAGTCAGTAGATATGATTAGTTTGATTTCTTTGTTGTTGAGCGCAAAGCTACACAATGTGTTATCTGTGCTGTGCCCACCACAGGCATCGAAATCCGGTTTTTAAGCGAAAAAAAACCCTTTAAACTTACCGCTGAGTCACTAGAGGAAGAGGAGGGGGGAGAGATATGAATTGGTAAAACTGCGCAAAGTTTCCATTGTTATATCCTGTTATACAGAGGGTTAAATACATCATATTAAAACGGTTTTGAAAACGCCAATCAGAAAGTCACGTGACAACCACAGTTGATGTAAAGTAGTGGTGGAACTGCGTCAAAATTATGTTTTGACATTGTTGAACCAACCTGGAACACCAGAGCCATCCAGAATGAGATCTGAAACAGGTCATATCCCAGATATGGTAAGATATGTGCGACGTCTTGTAACAAGTGAGAATCCACGAACACAAATCTCATGAGAAAAGCCATCCACGTGTCCCAAGTAATATAAACAAAAAAAATCTCTGTCTAGATTCGAAAAATTACACTACATATCTTTTCAACTGTCGCATACTTCAAGCAGATGGAAAATAGAACGGGTATTCATGTACCTTATAAAGACGTACCTGCGAAGTCATCGATTGGACTAGATGGCTTTTGGAAATCCTGCAGATGTACCTTCGACATGGCAGCCTTACAACAAAGCCTTTTGCAATAGAAATTACATTGCAGAGATATTGTCAAGATGATCAGTCATCAGATAAGCCATGATCAGACGTATCCACATGGACTGTAACGACGTGGTGAGGCTCCAAACGGGTTTTCATATAACGTATTTAAACTCTGCAATAGAAAATGTTATTATTATTTACCAAATTCCTTTTTTTGTTCCTTAAAATATTTCTTTACGAACATAATTTTCTTACAAATATTAAAAAGAAGTAACTCATTACATGTTGTGAGATTGTATTGCATTTCTAATATTTTATTGCTAATTCGTTATATATTATTAATGAAAACCCTACCCATTTAATGAGCAAAAGTCATGAAAAATAAATAGCTATTAGTACCAAATTGAATTTGTTGCCTATCATAAAATTAGTAAAATATTCCGATAAAATTATAAAACCATGCAAAAGCTCGATATATTATCATATACCAATGGTCTATATTCCTTACACTTAAATGATTCAGTTTTCTATTTCTTTATTTTGGTATTTTTAGGGGAAAACAACGAGGAAGTGCCTCTGTAAAAACAACTGAAGACGAAAAGTTTTTTAAAAGTATACAAGAGAATGAAGAAGGAGTTACAGCAGCATCTCTGGTGAAAAATATTAAACTTTATTGCAGTACTGAAGCTGAATCTGTACAAAGTAAACAATATGCAGGAGCTGTGACACCAAGATGGACGACTTCACCATTTACTTCTCGAGTACCCACAAGGATATCTGTAGAGTTAACCAAAAAAAATGATACAAGAACATCTATAAAGAAGACCAAATCATCCTCAAGATCTCGAGTTCCCGTTCCTATCGTTCTATTGAAGCGCCCGTTGTCTCGTATTGGTAGATCCAGTTGCGTCCAGGGCAAAGGTAGGCCTAATTCTGGTCAGTGTAGGGTTAACTCTGGCCGAAGTAGACATATTTCTGGCAAAAGTAGGCCTAACTCTGGTCGAAGTAGACTTATTTCTGGACAAAAAAAGTCTCAATTCACCCGCAAGAAGGAAAATTATCACAATTTCGTTGAAAATGTCTACAAATCAACTAATTCTTCAGGATTGCCTAGACTAGTGGGACTGGTTCAGAAAATGAATCCATTTATCAGTGCAGATGGCACCTCTGAAGAAATAAGAAGTGTCTTGGCTACCCAATCATCTGTTTTGCAGTTTAGAAAGCAGAAAGGATTTACAACAGCCAATAAGCAAACTAGCCGTTCGACTATACAAAACAAAAATAGTGAGGTATGTTCTGCAAAGAACCAGTTAGTCCAATATTCAAATACTGAAACAACTGCACTTCCCAAGAGGAGTAGTAAAATACCAAAAGCGCGACGTGGTAATATAATGTCGAAAAAAGCAAGTTTTACCATTTCCCGTGAAAATGAAAGAGAAACACAATGCTGGCGACGTTTTCAAGATTCCTGGAGACAGTTCTTCGAGACTAAAAACTTCCAAGATAGACCGTGGCCCGTAAATTTGACAAGAGCAATCCAACAAGAAGGTAACGAAAGTAAGAATTTCCATTCCACCAATAACATACCTGAACTGAACAAACATAAAGAACATTTAATAAACAGTAATGTCAATCATTTCTTGACCGAGATTACTGATAGGAAATGGGAGGACGTATCTTCTAGCCATACCCAACTTTCTGTGAAGAATGCCCTATTGAAGAAAGGTTACAGTTTACCTATCTCAGCAACTGGTGATGATTCCAAAAGCGTCCAGCAAGCGGAGAGTGCGACAGTGGTAAACGTAGCAACTCTATCTGCCGATAGCAATATTAAGAATGATATCCAAAAACAAAATAAAGAAAAAGAACGAAATGGTTGTTACTTTAAAATAACGAAAAATGTAACAAAGAAAGGGCTAAAGAAATGTAACAGAAACAGGGAAGTAAGAGAACAACAAAAGTATTGTCTTGAAAGCCATACTGACAATCAAATTAACCAAATTTCTGATAAAACAGGTGGTTCTGCTAGAAGAAGCAGTTTGCACAAGGCATCCAGTAGCAATAGGACATTGAAAACAGAAGGAAATGTAGAATATATTAACGGTATTAGAACTTTCACAACAGTCAGGGACTTGGGAGGGGAAAAGAACACATGGAGACGAACCGATAATGCTGTAACAAGTGAAGATAACAAAGAGGGAAGCTATCATCAGAATTGGAAGGGCCAAAAAAATGAATCGACTGTGGAAGCAAGAATCACTCATGATAATGGTGTGGAATATTACGATAATGGAGCATTAAAAATTATAACATCTCCTTTTATTGATGATATTACAGAAGTGGAAGAAAGGATAAGTGGAGTTAAAAAACATCACAGTTTTAATTTGATTGTAACCGAGGAAATAAAAGAAAACAAATTAGCTCGGCGTCATTCAAACAGAGACAAAACACGAAGATACAGTTCTAAAGATCAGATTGACAGCCAAAGTAGTCAAGTTTTGATTACCAAAACTGGTGCTACTGGTAACAAATGTACTTCTAGGCAATCCACTCTTGATGTGTTTGTGAAGAAAACAGGACCAACAATGGAAAAGAAAACTCGTGGCAGAATACAAGTTAAAGACAAGTACAACGTTCAATGGAATGAATCGCGTGAGCTAATTGATTACGACATGATGGGTCAGAACAATAACCTGGAAAACGTGTGTCATGATATGAAAGATACAGATGAAATACCACGAGCAGATGCAAAGATATTGTATGGTATCAGTTTGATTCCAAAACCAACAAGTGACCCGAAAGGGGTAAAGGAAGATCAGAGCAGTGAAAAAAAGATAAGCATAGCAAATACGCCTATCAATCATGATATTTCAAATATTCAAGAGAAAGAAAAGGGAGGAAAAGAACGAAATAGGCTTAACATACAATTCACATTAGAAAATAAAAGAAAAGAATTCACGCAATATAATTTAGGTGGAGACAGAAGAATAATAGAAGGGCAAAATTATGATTTTGAGGGTGTGTCAGACGGGCATACCAGTGAGGCTTTGGGTAGAACAAGTGGCACTACTACGAGTAATAGTTCCTGTTGGGATTCCACCGATAAAACATCCACAAAAGCAATCAGAGTGGAGAACGCAGAATCTCGTGGTGATAATAAAAGTCATTCAGTAAACAGAGAGTGTAGTAACTGGGAAGAATTAGACGAACAGGTATATCAGAAAGTACTAAGTAAAGAAGACAATCGGGAAAGTGGGGATGGTCAAGAAAACAAAGGCAGTGAAGAGAGAATTGAATATAATACCTGCCCATCAAGAATTGCAAAAAACTGTCAATGGGATATGTACGAAAAAGTTTATGATACCAAAAGTCAAACCGAAGAAAAAGGCAAAGAGAGCAGAGAAACAAGAGCTTATGCCAGTCGCATGATATCAAATAACTCGGTAAATCGCAATGGAGAAAAAGCACGTAAAACTATTAGAAGACCTACAAGTTTTCAGTTGAGAAGATCTCGATCTGACAGTAGCAGTTTAGCAAGTGGAAGACGAAGACAGGTCAGGATAGACGCTGGAACGTATCGTGGTAAAGTAGAAACTGTGTCAAGTTTTGACCTGAAGGAAGATAACGATTTGGAAACTCGATGTAAGATCAAACTCAATAAAAATTAAAAAGTTTAACACGGTTTAACACCAAGTAGAATATAAATAACTATGAAATATAAAGTTTAATATACTTTAGTTTCTAAACTTAAAGCACCAAATATCCAACTAATAAAATATTTACTTTTCTGTTAGTTTTACAGAACAGTTTCTTAAGAAACTTCGTTTTGTTACGTCTTAACACAAGATAACGAAACTGTATCATAATATCTTATGTGTTTATTATGCAAGACGTTTCAAAGTACTAGAGATTCCCTTTTGTTACGTCTTAACACAAGATAACGAAACTGTATCATAATATCTTATGTGTTTATTATATACTGCCTAGTTATGCAAGACGTTTCAAAGTACTAGAGATTCCCTTTTGTTACGTCTTAACACAAGATAACGAAACTGCATCATAATATATTATGTGTTTATTATATACTGCTCAGTTATGCAAGACGTTTTAAAATACTAGAGATTCCCTTTTGTTACGTCTTAACACAAGATAACGAAACTGTATCATAATATCTTATGTGTATATTATACACTGCCCAGTTATGCCAAACGTTTCAACGTACTAGAGACTGCCTTTAGTTACGTCTTAACACAAGATAATGACATTGCACTACATCTTCTGCATTATACACTGTCCTATTATGCACAACGTTTCAAGACACCCCAAAATACTTGCATATTCATTCTAAATGAAGATGTATATAATAATTTACTAAAAATAATGAAAAAAAAAATATTCAGTATCTTATTTTCCACCGTATAGTACTAAAATGTAGTGTCGATGCTAACTAATATGCAGTTTTTTAGCCCACTGCATAAAGACTACACCGCAAACCCTTTCAGACTTCGGACCTATACACCAGTGAGCTAGCTATAACGTATAATTATTGTTACTGGCTATTATTCACTCTTGGCTTGAAAAGGGAATTTAACAATAAACATACTCTAAAGTCAAGAACGTCTGTCATCTTTATGCTATACACTTTAATGTTGCACTTTAAGCTAAAAAATCAAATGTACGTCAATTCAAAATTCTATCATATATTACTACAATACTGTTACTCGGCCATCATATATAAATCATTTTATAAATATCTTATTCGTATATATTTTGATTACTTAAGTCCGAGTAATTTGGGCCCGGCATGGCCAGGTGGTTAGGGCACTTAACTCGCAATCTGAGGGTCGCGGGTTCGAATCCCTGTCCCACCAAACATGCTCGCCTATTCAGCCGTGGGAGCGTTATAATGTGACGGTCAATCCCACTATTCGTTGGTAAAAGAGTAGCCCAAGAGTTGGTGATGGGTGATGATGTAGCTGCCTTCCTTCTAGTCTTACACTGCTAAATTAGGGACAGCTAGCGAAGTTAGCCCTCGTGTAGCTTTGCGCGAAATTCAAAAACAAACTAACAAACTAAGTACTTTGCATTTGTTAGAAGGCTAATTTCAAAAGCTTAAACAATGTATCAACGTGCATTTCAAAAATAGTAATAATATTCTTTACTAGCGCAATTGCAGTCCTTGTTTTAGCGCAAAGTTACGCAATGGACTTTCCCCGCTCTGTCCTTTGCCGGGAATCGAACCTCGGAATTTTGAGTCGTAAGCTCTTTTTTTTTTTATTAGAGTAGTCATAATATTATACTAACGCTGTATATCTACTTAATTTTGCTAAAGTCGTATCCACAATGGAGCGGCAAATGTTCTAAGAGTGACTGCATTGAATCGGAGCATCCATACCAGCCGCGGACAGCGGGAACGGCGCTGCTGAAATAGAACCTGTTTCTAATTTTTCTCACGGCTCGAATGAAACTTACTGTTCAGAAGCAAGGTTAACACCCTTGAAACAGCTCAAAACACGGAAGGACGTGAAACATGGACAATGAGAAATTGATTTATGAAGTGCAGCGGTATCTTTTACTGTACAACTACAAACTAAGTAGATATTAAACTGAATATCGCATGCGTTCTTGGAATCTCTAAAAGCTCGGTTTTTTATGATAAAAACCAGTATGTCATATGGCTTCATAGTCACCAGGATCTTTTAAACAGGGTTTTAATGTTGCCCTTAAACTGAGAGGCATTAGAATGTAAATTAAACGTTACATCTTTGCTAAATTAGATATTGTTGCATAATTACCGTGCGCATCAATAATGATAATGTAATAATAAAAAGTTAATAAACTAAAGGATAAAATAATAGATTTGTACATAATGACAGAGATGAGAGTTGATTCAATAATAAAACAGGGTAGGTTATCACCAGTGTGATATAGGAAGGAATGCATGGAATCATCCAGAGATATACCAGAGCTTGAAATGTGTAAAATTATCAAGTGGAAATCAATTTCACATGAGGCGTAGGGTCCGGGGGACGACAAAACTTACATTGTATAAACTGAAGTTTTGTATACGATTACACTGTATTCTGGATATGGTTATAGTATGTATCTTTCTAAAGGCTTTGACGTTTCGAAATGTTTGCAAAAAAGTTGACGACACTCTCCTATTTTGATTATTTGATGACGTCACAATGTATATTGACACAGAAAAGCAACTGAAATGTAGAAGAATGACATGTCGCAAAGTAGGCCTGCATAAACGATATGAATTGGTGAGATTGTGATGAGTTATTATTAAATTTACATATGTCCTTGGACATTCTACAACAGGAACGTTTTCATAGAAAATTCTAACAACAGGAGCGTTTTCACAACAATTTCTTACAACAGAAACGACGCTCCAGTTTGCTCCTCCTCAGCTCCAGCCCTGAGATATACACGCTGGGTCATGTGATTGTTCCTAGCGTGTTAGGTTGCTTGAAGATCATATCCGGTGTAGAAGGTGCACTGAGCCGTATTTATATATATTTTAATTAGAGAGACTATTAGCTGTTCAACGTAAGTAAATTGTTGTGCCTGTGCTATCGCCATCTTGTCGGAGGTATCGTCCTTGTACAAGAATAATATATTACATAATCGTACGAGACAAATTTGCGCATTTTACAATTCAGTATCCCAGGATTTTTGCAAAATAACACTGATAATTTTCAATTACAAATTATAAAAGTATAGCGTAGGCCTAATGTCGAGGTGTCAGGACAACGTCACAAATATTTGCAATAGTGAACAATAACATTCAGAGAGGCAGAGAGCACCTGTATAATATGGATCAATTAGACGTAATGCCTATAGATGATGTTCTCAAACTTACTACTATGTTATCTGGGAGCATGAAGTTTTGATATTCACCGAGTACATTATTTAATTCAGTTTTCACTTCACACACTATTTCTAAATTATAATAGTAAATAAAAAAATATCGATCATTTATTTAGCCCCACGTACAGATTTATCAATAAAACACATAAACACCAAAGCCGAGTATAATTAACAAATTGTTTATTAATGCAAACATGAAATGAATTTGTAGCATATTTAGCTGTTCATATACAGGTGGTTCATATACAATAAAAGTAACAACAAAAAGAAACACTCAGTATCAATAGAACTACAGAAAAGTTGATATTGTCAGAAATGTTCTATACACTATACATTAAAAGTAATCTTGCATTACAACCCCCCCCCCCCAGTGGCACAACGGTATATCTGCGGACTTACAACGCTAGAAACCGGGTTTCGATACCTGTGGTGGGCAAAGCACAGATAGCCATTGTGTAGCTTTGTGCATAATTAAAAACAAACAAATAAACAAGCATTAAAATTATACAAAGAAAGAAGTGTTTATAAAAAAAAAAGGTCAAATAAAATTGAGAACTAAGTGTCTGATAATTAAGAGACATTCATTTTCTGCTGACTCACTGTATATGTCTGAGACCTAATCCATTACTCAAACTAACTCCTTCTTGTTCATGGATTTCACAAAGTTTTTGCAAGTACCTTTATTCAATTTTTCTATCTTGCTCTGTGAATCATGTTAAATCTGATAGGGCATTTCTGCATACTTTTAACATATTACATGAATTTATCATGCCATAAATATTACACCCTTTCTGATGACGAAAAAATAACCAATCAGTACTTTTCACAGTATTTCCAAAATCACAGCCCAAGTTTTTTTTATCTTGGAAATATTTCCTGAAGCGCCATCACATATAACACCCTATGTACAGATACTTGCTTTATCAAAAAAAGTTAACGATGTTCAAACAAGTTCACTTAAAAATCTCATTATATACTTTATCAACAAAGAAGTGAGCAATATATGTCTTGGATCTCTCTACACAACCAACAATTAGAAAGACAAGTGTTTCTGAAGTAAGCTTCTCCATTTGTAGGCACAGTTTATAAAACCAAAGCCATGGAATCAATTACTAAAGTACAATCATTCATATATGGTTTTACTATTAGGTTTTTCTTTAACTGCTCAAACTTTTCTAAAAAAAACCGGTTCACACTAAACAGAAGTACTCCAAGGACGTAATCGTGAAGGATGAAGTAGTTCAAACATCTGACGCTAAAATCTCTGTTTATCAGAGTATTCTGTATCATGAGTCCCATGTGCGCAGTATTGGAAGTAATTGTGGAAACGGTGAGGAAAAATGGTGTAAAAGACAAATAACATAGGAATGCCACACCTTTATCGTATGAAAATTAACTACATCAGAGTAAAGTCACATATTGATAACATAAACTGTGAGTGGTTGTCATTTAGCCAATCAGAAAGTGCTCTTCACTACTATAAGGCCTATAAAAGTACAAAAAAAAGGCTCATTCTATTCCCATTGACTACTATAAGGCCTATAAAAGTACAAACAGGCTAATGTGCATTCAGTCACGACAAGCATGTAGAAATCAAAGTTTTATATAGTCAACGATACTTCAAGTGTAAAACTGCGTCAAAATTCCGTGTTCCTGAGGTCGAGGTAGAAAACAGCAACTCTCCAAATATTCTTTATGGGATAGACGATGGTCGAGTGTAGATCTTTCCAATGACCCTGCTGTAAATAAATCATTCGAAAATATCAAAAATTCACTATTCATAAGCAATACT